GTGTTAATTAAAATGCGCCCCGGACCGTGACTTTTCAGGCCATTAACCAGGCCAGGCTGTTGTAGGTAGTACGTTGGTTGCCAAGCGGTGCTTGTAGATGCGAGAGAGAGGGATGTGAAGTTTGACTACTGTTGGTGCAACAGCAAAGGCAAACCGAAAGATGCTTCTAGCTTTGGCAGAAGATTGTTTTGGCAATGACGTGCTCCATATCGTCTCCCCTCCTCCTCCTCCTCCTCCTCTCCTCGAGTTTGGAGCGTATTCAGGTGGCAAAACGTTCCCTCATTTCCACATTTCCATGTGCTCTCTTCATGCCACCTTCCGTCAAGACCTGCTTGGCTGTGTTTAGCACTTGCAAAACCACTGACGGGCAAGCTTTAGCCTCAGCTACCCGTGAGGTTCGATGCACTTGCATGCCCACCGTGTGGGCACCACCTCAGTGCCGCCATCCTCGCATTTGAAGAGGTCATCAGGCATGCGGATTGGCGGCATTTAGGCATCCCACATAGCGAGATTTGAGACAACAATGTGTGACGAGTCAGACCTTCATTGGTTGTGGTGGTAGCAGCCGTAGAGGCAACCTCCTTTAAAATTCACATGACCACGTCTTCATGAGGTGTCATCCTGCCCACTCTCAATAATCGACTAGTGGTGAAAACAGCGCCATTGACCACACCATCTCAAACCAGTAGTTCAACTTCCCACAACCCACCAGTAGGTGCCGTCTGAACTGGTGGTCTCGTGCGATGTGCTGCTGGAGGGAGGGTGAAGAGGCTTTGACCTGTCGTCTCACTACAAGCAGGCAGATGCTGTCTCGATTCTATTCACGCAAAATTGACTCCTCCTCCTCCTCCTCCACGTCATCGTCGTCCTCCTCCTCCTCCCTCCAAAATTTCGCTCCACACCTTCATCTCTCAAAGCATTAGGCAATGTGTACTCTCTCTATTTACTCACAGTCGAGGTGGACTCTACTTGCTCCCTTCTGCATCACAGTGACACAGCACCAATCGCAATTTAAGACAGCTTTTATGC